TATAGCCCAATGTAAACATTGAAAAAAGTCTATAAGAAAATGTATGCATTCGGGCCTTAATAAGGACAATTACAGAAATTACCTTTCACCAGATGCCATGATAAATGAATTAACTGATACCGGTTTGATCTCTGACCCATCCGTTGCTATTATCAACATTAGGTGACCATCAATTGATACCTGGATGTTACATGCTGCAATGGCACTGCTGATTATCCGAAAACGGTAGCTAAAGCCAGATACCACATGAAAAACCGACCGCGGAGTGTAGAAAACATTACCTTCATCGTCTGTGAACTCACGCCCTCTACCTCTCCCGTTGATCAATATCGTCTGCTGAGTAATAGGTGGCAGAGTACTCGCTGTTGTTTGTGCTAAGTACGTCTGTAAACCTACATATGGTGTCCAGTCTGACACTATCATTACATGTTCTGATAAATCAAAGTCATAAAATTCCGCGATTTTCTCGTTCTCTCTTGCTTTTCTGACAACCAACGGTCCGTACATACCATCAACCCTGTAGAAACCAGAATGGGCATGCCACCAGTGGGTTCCTGCTGGTTGTGCTAGAAACTCGTACACAAAAGATGTAGCGTGTGGTATAGGACATTGCGTTATCATTGACACACCGTCCATCCAGTTTGTGCCAACCTGATGAGGACCATGCCAGTGTATTGATAAACCACCGTGGTCGACCAACTGATTGACTACTTTTACGCGAATTGTGTCACCCCGACAAACCTGCAACGTTAATTACAGACAGAGACGATTAAAGTAATTTTCATTTATTTACAAATACAACTTTATTATGATCAAATAAATTCATTTAGTTTTTATTTATGTATACTGATTTGAAAATTAGTTTAAAGTAAACCAAAACGTCAGCTTACTTTGCTACGTTTCGAACCGAACCGATGTCGGCGGATCTTCGTCAATTTTAGTTGTCTTCTCTATCGTCGGGTGGTGTTCGACGACGTGCGCCAGCGATGTTACCAGCTGCATGTTCTTGGGGGCAGGGGTGGCGCTAGCGGGAGGACAGGGGGCGAAGAGGTCCATCGAGGACCTCTGAACTCCAGCTTGGACATCTGTAGGGGAATCTCCAGCAAGGTTGTCGGGGAAAAATCAAATCTCAAGCATGCCGTATTACTAAGCTGTCACAATTTTAGGGATTGAAAACTGTTTAGTGCGAGCAGAAACCGTATGTGCGGGGTGTTACTATTGCGAGCGTATGGTTTGCAGTGGTGCGCCAGCTCTTCCTCCCCGTCTGGTACTTCAGACGGGATTAGTAGGGGGACTAGTAACCCAACATCTTTTTAAAATAAAGAATCCCATAATTAACACAAAATTTCATCATCTTTTAATAATAAAAAATCCCCGACAAATTTTATTTCCCCTAGGGGTGGGGCTGTCTCTTATACACATCTTTACACTCCTCCATCAGTGTGTTGGCTCCCAGGCACTCCAGGTTTTAAATGGCAATAACTATATATAATTCTTTGTGATAAACCAATTAATAATCACTGTTTTTGTTGTAGGAAAGGGTTGTGGGGGTGTTTAGTGATTAGAACATCTAGAAGGGGATAGTGGTCCGTTCTGTCTATACTGTGAAGATGTTTATTTAGCTCATCTGTAAAACCCGTTAGAATGATAGCAAGGATGTCGTCTACATATCTCTTCCATATACGAGGCTTAATATCCTGATGTGCACTCGCAATAGCCTGTTCGTCAAGTCATTCCATATATATTAATCTGAAGTGCGTAACGTAGTGAAGCTCTAAATCCAACAATTTTATGAATTCAACGTCTGTCAACTGTGAGACAATTTCTCGTAATATTCAATGCAGTGGTGGCGCCAGCGGGGGCAGGGGAATTTTTCCCCACCCAATAACGATTTTTTGATTGCCAATCCTTTATATTGTGGTCTGAATTACATTTAGGACCAAATTAAACCATACAAAAAACACTCCCCATGAACCCTACCAGGGATTTTTTTTTTATTGCGGGCAGTCGACCGAAGCTTCGTCGTCGCCTTGGTTCGGACCCCTCCGTCAGACACGTTGGACCACTTGTCGGCAAATCCCTGACACCACCACTAATCCAATGACTTGTCTACCGAACTGTTAGTAAATAGGGACACAACATCGAATGAAACGAAACCCTCACCTGGTGCTAGTTGAATGTTATATAATACTTCAGTCAGGTCTTTGGAATGTTCAACATGGTGTACCGTGTTTCCAATGTTCTGATGTTGGAAATAAATATCTTTTTGAGCATCTGTTATTTTTTGTTCTTTCTTTAATGTGTTAAAGATCGATACTAACCTTTTGTACAGGGATATTTTTTTTAAACCTTTTTATAAACCTTTTCATCTGACAACATGCTGTGTACTTTCTCTTCATATTCGATAGAATCTAGTATTACAGTAGCTTTCCCTTTATCTGTAGGTAAGATGGATATGGCTGTATCGTATTTTAGCTTCGCTAAAGTCAATCCTTACTGCTTTGAGACTGACTATCTTGCTTTGCAGCTAATTATTCTACATGCTAATTCCATGGTAACGATAAGATCTTCTACTGCATGTTTAGGCTGTGTAAAAGCAAAATTCAAGCCTTTAGCTAAAATCTTAAATTCCACATCACCAAGGGGGCAATTTGACAGGTTTATACCCACCTCTTTTTCTGCTGAGCAAACAATTCTCCGTCCGCTTGATGTAGATTTTTTTTTCTTTTTTTATCGTTTTTTTTTTCTTTCAGCTTGTTTTGATGATGGATCCTAATTTTTATTAACTTTGCTACTCATGAACAGAGATGATGCGAGCATATCAACCCCATCATATACGACCATCTTTTCAACCCTGGAGTGTCTGGGATCCCCGGAACATCCAACTGGTAACATAGCTGGTGCACGTCGTCGAACACCACCCGCCGACAAGGAAGACAATTAGCATTCAGCTAGTTGCATTGCCCCTAACGAAGATCCGATGACATCGGTTTGAAAAGTACCAAAGTAAGTTACCGTTTTGGTTTATCTTAAACGAATTTTCAAATGAGTATACAACTTTATTATTTCATTTTCATTCATTTATTTGTATTTTACAAAAGGGGCGGACCCAGTAGGGACACGGGGGGGGGCAGGTCCCCCCCCCCCATTTTGCTACTAAATTTTAAAAATGTCAATGCAAATCAATGTTAGGTGCTACTCACCGATTCTGAAACTGTTCCGCCCCTGGTACAGTTAATTTGGCGTTTTGAACACAAGGAATTCATTATGGTTTGCTAATTTAAAAGTAACCCTTAACTTCATAGCATAAAATCCATGGAATTACCAATATATTTGACCAATATATTTCATCTATGATCTATATTTAGTTTTTAGTTGTCAATTTAAATCCACAAAAATATTTTTGTAATATTTCTCTTAGATGTAGGCCTTTGCGATTGATAGCTAAAATTGATATAGGTAAATATTTCAGAATTGTTACTAATTAAATAGTGTAATAAAGTATAGGATCCCTAGGAATATATACATCAAAAAGTTATTCATGAAAATTAACTATTTAAAAATGCAAATATTATTTTCATTACCTCTATACTAGGCCCAGGTGTCTTTCCATTGGTAACAACTACTAATCGAGGGTGTCCGTCTATTGAAAGACAGTTCTTTAGATTGCAATGATCGGGATTGAATGGACAATCAAAACAATAACCTGACATTGAATTAGCCCATTCGGCGATAAATTCATATTCACATATTCTTGGTTTGGCTGGATATTCACACGTTCGGTAGCACGGATGATTAGTGATGCTTTCCTTGTAACTGACATTGATAGGCCTATTATGTTCCTTGTAGAATGTTGAATTCGATTTTCCCTTACACTGTCTAGCTGCACATCCTAAATAAGAGGAGATAATAATAAAAATTGATAATACATTTCTTGGAGGTTTGCATGGCGAGTATCAATAACAAAATCATTAACATTTCGGTACACAATTTGTAAAACAGTATAAAACATACTCCAAGTATGGAAATGCACGCCATCGTGTCGGGATTCAATATTTCGACATTAATAATGTCACTGTCATTATGTCATTGTTAACTCGCCCAATCTGTGCATATCTTTATTATTAACGATATGAAATCATTGAAAAAATTGAGGGTATATATTTTATGAAAAAGTGTAAACACTAATCAAGTCCAGCCCCTTTCACACAAAACCATTGAATTATTTAATTTATTGGGCATTTTTTTCTCAACTTAACAAATAATTTAATATACTATTACAAATACAAAAGAACAAATGATATTTCTTTCCAAAAATTCATTTAGAAGAAAGATATAGTACATATAGTCCTACATAGATACATAAATATGTGTGCGTGTGACGTGTATAATACACGTATGTGTTTCATCGCATGACGCTCTATAACTTGGTTCTAATGGTTTTATTTGGAAAAGGATGGTTTTGCTAAAAATTAGGTGAAAATAATATAAAAATGGCTAATTTTTCTTGGGATTCCTGAAATTTTTTTTTAACACCGACAAAAATCCAAATATAAAACGGAAGAAGGTCCGACTTTTTTTAAATTTATTTTTTTCATTTTTTTAAAATTTATTTTTTTCAGTGTTCTATTTTAATTACCGGTATTTCAATTTGAATCAAGCATGAATCAAGTGATTATTTTAAGAAAGCAGAAAAAGCTGTTGAGAAACCTAACTGTAACGACTGCGCCAAACAATTATTTTGTTATAACAGTTATTGTTACCAATATAAACATAGTAGACTAAACATTACAGTAAATATAAATCAATACAAACTATTATTAACTAAAACTTTAGAATGTTACAAAGGGTAGTCTTCAAGCTAGAATGTTTCAGAAGGGGTACCGAAGAATCAAAATTTTGAAGGCCTATGCTGTCGTGTATATATATATACTGTCTCTTATACACATCTTAAATAGGGACACAACATCGAATGAAACGAAACCCTCATACAGGGCAGGGTGTCTATAAAACAAAGACCGAAGACCCTTTTTTCTCTTTTATTTTGATGATAATAAAGCAGGCTGTCACAAAATCAAAATTTTCAAGGGTCTTCGTTTTAGAGACACCCTATGTGGGTGTCTACAATACGAAGACCGAAGACCCAAAAGACGAAGACCTCCAATTATTTCTCAATTATCCTATTGAAAGTATTTAAAAATCACCATGAAACAGTTGCCAAGTACCTATTTCATTATTCATCGGAATAAAATGAGGAATATCAAGAAATACTTAAGGGTCTTCGTTTTATATACACCCTAGGCCTATATGGGTGACCCGAAAAACGAAAACCCACATCGTTTTCTCTTTTTTAAAATGATACTACACCAGGCTGTCACCAAATCATATTAATACGAGATTATTTTCATCACGATTGAGAGAAAAAATGTGGATCTTCGTTTTGTAGACACCCATATAGGGTGTCTATAAAACGAAGACCCTTATTATCTGATCCATCCCATGTTGGTGTCACTACCAAATGACCGATGCTGCACATATGCGTCACTATACAACATTCCTACTGTTTATTTTAACATGAAACAAAATACGCGTACCGCTAGGCCAAGCCTTACTATCGTTTTACATTTTAAACCATAACTTAAAATTAGAAACATAAGAGTTCCAAACTTGTTTTCTTACGTCTAGATTACAACCATTTTTTACATAGAACTCCACACCTTGCAGAGCATAGAATGTTTGTTTTTTTTGACATTTGCTTATTCGTTCATTAATATGATATTTGCCTTTAATGTCAGAGTTGAACTGGAGCCTTCACGAATAGATATGCAACATCATCAGAACATGTTAGTTCATAGTCGTATAAATGCCAAGAAGGAGCAACATTGAATGGTGTTTCACCAAATGTGGTGCAGCCAGTTTTACTTGGGTGAAATCTCAGCCCACAAAATATGTGAACACAAGCAAAAACATACTGTATATCATTTTATCAGTTATGAACTCTTGATAACCCAGGCAGCGTCTTGGAGCTATGGGTTACTTCCACGCACATTTTATAAACAGAGTTTGGCTGGAGATATATTTGAACTGGGAAAGATAAAAAGAAAACAACTGTTTATAACTGAGGAAAAACCTGTGAGCTTTGTCCATTTTTGAGTATCTGTAATTTTGTGTAGAATCACCGGAATTGTGTGGGAATGGTTGCAAATTCCAATTCTAAATAATTATTAATTAACAAATGAATGTTTATACATAATGAAATGTATAAAATTAGTTAAATGCGTATTATTGTTAGGTATCAAAAGGACTAAATACCACAACAAACTTAGCTTTGTTAACATAGCTAATTACAGATATATAATTATTGTAATTTATAATATTCTATAATCTATATTTTTATAAATTTGTAAATTTAAAACACTGTCTATTATTTATTTATCTTTTTGTAATAATAACAAATAAAATATGTAATAATTGTAATTCCATACATTATCAGTATTTTTGTAAAACTTAAAAGTGTGTACATTTAAATCTTATATACATTTTTTGTTTAATGATTAAATTTATCATTTATGTTACTGTATCATGTTCTGTTGGGGCCCCTTCTTTAACATGCCTACTAGCTAAATGGTTATCCTCTGTTATCCATTATGTGTTATTGTCAATGTTTTGCTTTTTGGGTTTTGAAATGATTTGTTGTCTTTAAAAAATGTAAATTGATTATTTGTTATATTGAATGGATAATAGTAATATTATACCTTTACTATATTTTTAATCTTTACAATAATATTCAGTCAATGTAATCATTTTTATTGCTACAATAAAATTATAAACTTCATTATCTTGTTCCACCATCATATTGTTTTATTTAATTATTCATGATGTCCAATGTCATTTGAAGTGTATTAAAGAGGTTTTTTTTATGTTTATTGTTTAAATTTTTGTAAATGTTATCATTGTTTATGCAATGTAAAGAAACATCAAGAAAAGAAAACCCATAACTTAAATACATTAACTTTTTAGGTTATCAAGATGTTTAGATAAAATATATTTTACATATCTATAATCAATATAATAATTAAGCATTAAAATACTGATTTTTCTTTTGTACAATCTTTTATGTTCCTTGCCGCTAGGGTTTCCAAAATACCCGAAGATATTCTGCGCAAAAATTCAACCATCCTCGAAGTCTGCTTTGGGTGATGCGAATCATGAGATTACGATGCGATTCCATAAGGTTGCGATGCAATTCCAGGATATTGGGATGTGATTCACAAAACTGTCAAAAACATTTAAACACTTTTATTTTAAGAAGTATAGTCTTCCGTCACTTTATCCACTTAAGTAGAAGTTATATAAAGAAGCCAAGCTATAGTTATACAAAATATAACATTTCTTTCAATACTATTCATATCTGTGGTTCCAGAACCCACAGTTGGCGATGAATCACCAGCTGTCGATTCATCGTTGTCCTCTATTTGGTCTCCTGGATGTGAAGTTTCAACAACCAGATCTGGGGCTGTAACTTTGCCTTCGCTCTGAGGTGTCCAAGATCCGCATTGAGGTAACTCGGCGGGGGCCGTCGGTAAATCTATGTCTTCACCTACGTGTAAAACTAGTGCCATTCCAAGCTACAATATTCCAAATAAAACCACAGATAATATGAAAGAATTATTAATGTGAAATTTATGGATAACTAGCTGCAATCAAATATTCAACACCATGGAATTGACTTGTGTCTTAGGCACTTTATCTACGTTGTCTTCCCATCCATATGTAAAAGTGGGTGCATGGTATATAATAATAATAATAATAATAATAATAATAATAATAATAATAATAATAATAATAATAATAATAATAATAGTAATAAAGGTTTATAATGAGCACATCTCCCCCAAGGGTACTTAAGGCGCAGTGTCAAATTTCGCCTTAAGATAATATAGATCCCCATTAAATCCCTTAGAAATTTCAAGACGAATCCCTATACCAATTTTCCAATTGGGGCAGCATTGCTCCTCATATAAGTATGCGCAGGTACTCATAAGGCAGTATGTTGAGCATCAACTCCTTCCACCCCACACAATGTGTCTTATTAACTAACTGCAACAAAAATACATAATCATCATCATCATCATTATCATTATCATCATGATCATAATTATCTGTCACATAGTTTTCAACTTATGGTCTACTTACTTCAGTGTGTTGCTCAATATGGCAATGGAGAAGCCACCAACCAGGGTTGTCGGCATGGACACGTAAGATTACGTATCCGCCACTCGGTACTATTACGGTGTCTTTTTTTACAGCACCTTGAAGTTTGCGCGGTAGAGAACCTAGAATAATTTACAGTAACTTATATTACAATAATTATTATATCAAATTGTTATTTATTATTGTAGCAGCTGTAACAATAGTAGTAGAAGCAGCATTAGTAGTAGTAAGAGTAGTAGCATCAGCGGCAAGAGTAGTGGCAGCAACAGTGCAGTAAAATTAGTAGTAGCAGTAGTTGTAGTAGTAGCAGCTAGATTTAATTGGCCTTGTTTAATGCTTTGACCTTCTTTCATTGAATTCTTTAGAGCATGATAGCATTATAGTTTTATAACAAGTATTTTAAAGAGTACAAATTACATTAAGCAATATTTTACACATATCTTATTAATATAACAATTTTAACGATTGTGATCAGATATTATAATATGCCCAATAATAAGTTAAGATAAGTAATTGGCAAAAGTATTTCAGGCGACTTTGTGTGTCGCGATATTTGTCATTTACTGTGAAAGATGGGATATTACCTTGACGGTCCAATTCTTTCACCTCTGCAACAGTCGTCTTTTCTGCAATAGTATCCTGACCCACAACTCTGAAGTAGTATCCATGCAAGTGGAACGGATGGCTGGAAGCAGTTAACTGTGCCTCATTGACTATGATTAATTCTATATCCTAAATTGGCATTAAAATTATTTTGATTATTTAAACAACTCCATAAGAAAATTGTTAATAAGCTTAATTTGCTGGTTTAGTGTGATATAAATTCAATGGTCAGGACAATTTAATTTTTTCTATTATTCATTCCAAATGATTCCGCTTGTAGAAAAATAATATAAAACAATCTGTATTTCTATTTGTTAGTCTGGCAACAAAAATCATGATTTAAAAACATCTGCTTCCCTGTATTAGCAAACAAATTCGGTGCAGACGTTGGTAGCGTTCTCATTCGGCATGATTTTGTGAAACACAACTTATATTACCCCGGTAATTAAGCTATGGAATTTCTACTCAGGTTTGATAAATTGCTAATGACAGGGTTATAGACAGTCATTAATAACCATGTAGACATGCATTCATACTTTCAAACACCTACATTTGTTAGGATGTCGGGTAGCCACAGTCCATGTCACATGTTTATGCACTAAAGACGTTTAAACTAGTAACTGTTAGGAAGTCGGGTTTGCTTTTCTACACTACAACCTAAATAATAACTTTGATCTTAAGGTTACTCATATAAACCTTGGTCCTTGTCTCTTTTTACCTACAGAGATTAACACTAGAGAAGTATAATAATTCATTCTGTGTAAGAACTTACGTCACCCAAGTCAACATCAAGAGTATGTGTACATTCACAGAAATTATCGACACAATTCTTTCCGTCGTTCAAAAGAGTGTCTTTTGTGCAAATCTCGTCATCTAGAATATCATTGAATTGGATGAGCGGTGGGGATGACGGGAAAATGAAAGTGATGTTATCCAGTTGTGGAGACTCCAAGATCTGTCCTTCTGCAAAGGTATCGCGAGGGTAGTACAATGGGTCGTTAAAATGATCATTTATGTGTCGACTATCAGCGGCTATGTAGAAGACTTTATCCGGCGTGGTGCTTAGAACTTCAGTGTCGCTCTCTGAAAAAAAATAAAACCTTAATCATTTAAGGTGAGAATGTCTCCTTTAATGATTCTTTCTAAAGTGTCAATGAAAATTAAAGGTAGCCAAACAGGCAAAAGACACGCACATGTTTCGCAAACATGTATTTACGTATGTTTATGCTGTCGGTTTGTGGGGCCTTCAACAATGTCCAATGGGCAGGGCTTAGTAGTTTTACATGCTTGTTTAGCAAGAATGGTTAGTATCTAATGTTGTCTATTGTCTTTTAGGCCATTATAAATATAAATTCGGTGGTAGATAAACGGATTTCGCGCCCCATTCACCGATGGTTTTCTTTTTCATTGTGAATACGGTATGCATTAGGCCTATGTACACTTACCTACCGAATTTAGCTGTACAATGTTTGTTCCTGTATCACCTATTGTATTTACTGTTCCTAAACCGGGTCTTAACCCTACTCCTCCTCCTCCTCCTCCTGGTACTGTAAGATCAATGGGATCTCCTTCCGGAGCACCCATGTAACGCAGTATCGCTTGTTCACTTTGATCACTGCAAATTTTGGATCCTTGCACCCTCATCCAATAATTACTTACAGACTGATCTGCTGCCAAAACAAAATCGAAACGTTCTCCGCCATATATTAATAACTTATCGGTTTCAATCGGCTCAATCGGTGCGCCATCTGATGCAATAACTGTCATTGTGTGGCCGTCTATCGACAACGTTAGCTCACAATTGGTAATGGCGTTGCTGATCATTCGAAAACGGTATCGAGCGTTTTGCATCACGGTGAACGTCTCTCGAGGCGTGTATGCCATATCGCTTTCTAAGGTGAGCTGCTCAAACTTACCCTTGCCATTGATAAGTACTGTGTCTGGATCAAATGAACATACAGCATGGCATTCGGCAAACTTGTTAAGAAATGTATTATTAAGCCAATCATGTACGATTATCGTGTGTTCCGACAGATCATAATCGTACAGTGAGTAATGTGTGTCACGTGACTGTGCTTGTCTAACAATGAGCGCTCCAAACAAACCATCAGCACGCTGTGGGCCAGCATGACTATGCCACCAATGAGTTCCTGCTGGATCTGCCTGGAATGAATACAGGAAATCTGTTCGAGAGGGAATAGGACACTGGGTTAGCATAGGGACGCCGTCCATGTACGGGTTACCTCTTGCGTGAAGACCGTGCCAGTGAATTGAAGTTCCTTCTCCTGTAGGCAGTCTATTTTTTACCTCAACTTCTATGGTATCTCCTTCACAAACCTATAAATTAAAAATCGTGCAGTTAGGGCATCATGACAATTATATACAGTATTGATATAATCGTGTTTACTCAGCCTATGGACAGGATGGCAATGATTATTGGTTATTTAAGTAAGTTTATACTGTAATTAAACTATATTAACTTTATTTTAATTAGTGACAATTACAAGTTACTCTACAACAGATGCACGTGAAATGTCCTAAAAAATATAGAAATGAAGGGGAGCTTCAAAATAATCAAAGAATTGTGTAACGTGTTTCAGCATTTTTGTTCTTATCTTAAAGATTTCATTATAATCATAGACGATTTATATTTCCAGCACACATTTCTAAAACCGCAACAGCATTTCAGAATTTGAAGAAAAGTAGTACCTGTGTTTTATTACATATAAGTGTCATGTTAATTCACGACGAACCTATTTGTGCAAGTCACAGATATTTTTCACAGAAAACCTGATAATGCAGACGGACTTTAAAGTGATATTATTATAAGAATTGTAAGTAACGTATAAGTCCCCCCCCCCTAAAAAACACATTGGCATTAAGGAACAAGCAGTGGCTGAAATTTACATAAATAGGCCTTTTATTATAGCCACTACTTACATAACTTTCTAAAGACGGTAAACTATTATGCTAAAAGATGTCAAACTTCAACTTTCAACTGTGATAGTTGTAATGAAATTGAAATATTGAAAAGTAGTGCCAGTAAGATGTTTTGATGATTGGAGTAATCGTTCTTAGCGTAGCTCACGCTAAGTTATTTATTGAGCACGAAATGGTACCACATGACTTAAAAGTACCAGTAGATGTTAATGCATTAACAAAACGATTGCAAAACGGAATGCGGCAATATTTCCATATTGTTTTGGGGACATTGTAGAAGCGTCCTCGTCACGACCCTGGATAACGCTAATTCTACCACCACCACACACAAGATCAAGTCAACATCTACTTGTATCACCCTTTTCATCATGCCATTTGATGAATCTGGCAGAGTACATGGATTGTGCTAGAAACTGTGTCCAACTCTGGCTGAAACAAATTACAGTATCTAGCAAGTGTGTGGACACAATAAGAAAGAAGCTTAGAGTAATTTCAGAGGTTTGGGATAATGGTGTATGATCAAATATATTAAAATTAAAAATTTATTCTATGAACTATATTCAGGTTTTAGAAACTCCTATTTAAAACACCTTTTGTATCTAACTGAGTACAGTATATAAAAGATGGAAGTGACTGATGTTAAAATGTGTGGCAACGTCGTGCTGGGCTTATTAAATGATTGATTGATTCGGCAAGTCATAAAACTATAGAGTACAAACTGAATGTTATCGGTTAAATAAAATATAAATAATAAGATGAATGGTTTTTACTGGTACGCTCCTGAACTACAATATTTCTGAGTTTTTTTTTATTAGAGCATCATCAGGAATAAAAAAATAACGTTGTTTTTATTAACTGCAAATCAGAGGTTAATGACAGTAAACAACAAAAAATAAACAGAAATTGCATTAAAAAGAAAAAAACCAGCATCTAGTAATATTAGAAAAATAAAAACTGACCAACCATTTAAGCAAATAAGATATGAGAATATGATATATATAAAATAAAGTCAATTCATATATTTTTTTCAATTAAAGTATCAGAAAAGTCCTAAACCACACGAAATAAAATGCAGAGTAGAGTTATTCTTGTATAACCTTTTTCATTCACTGCAAAACCAAGAGGTGACGGAGCTAGGGGGTGCTGTGTTTTGGAGAGTAATGTGTGACCGGAAATGGTCTGCAGTCAGTTGGTTGTTACCATGCGCCAGTGACTTTGGAGTATAATACAGCAACTATTATGTAGGCCTAATGAATGAATTAAGTTCGGAGTTTGTCGGGTAGTGAAATGATTATTTCACATTTTAAGTGCTCCCTAAATTCATAAGTGTAAGCTAAATTACGGTGATTAATTTAATTAGCGAAGATATGGAGACAATTATTTCGAATCCCTCTTTCCAAGAGGGGATGCAAATGATGC